AAATTTTTGCTCTTTTTCATTCTTTGAAAACACCTTCTGTCCTTTTGTCTTGGATGGCTCAGTTTACCAATGAATGGATGAATGATGCTCTCAGTTTATTGCAACATCACAGCAAGTTGCAGACAGGAACAAGTTTCCATCAAGAGCGAGCTGCTCTGGGCTCTGACCAGGAGAGACTGAGTCCCTGAATTACCATCTAGGTTTAATTCCTGGTTATCACAAGATATGAACTTCACAGCAATGTCATGTTTTTTCATCTAAAAAATTCTAACAGGGATCAAAGTTGTAGCTGTCATGGTCAGTGCTGTCCCTTGCCCTGTTTTTCCTGAAGGAAACATGACTTTATCCAAGACTGTTACCCTTCCCCTGTGGTCCCCCACACTGCTGCTCTCCATGGCTTTTTTCAGATGCTATGTCTTGAGATCTAAATACGTGTTTGGAGAGGAATTCATATTGTATGCAGATGCATAATTTAGGTGCTTAAAGACATTTGTTTTATTTAGAGACGGAGAAAGCCACCTCTAGAATCACAGAATTGTTTAGGTTGGAAAAGACCTTGAAGATCATCGAGTCCAACCATTAACCCAGCACTGCCAAGTCCCCCACTAAACCATGTCCCTAAGTGCCACATCTACACGTCTTTTAAATACCTCCAGGGATGGTGACTCCATCACTTCCCTGGGCAACCTGTTCCAATGCTTGACAACTCTTTTGGTGAAGAATTTTTTCCTAATATCCAATCTAAACCTCCCCTGTCACAACTTGAGGCCGTTTCCTCTCATCCTGTCACTTGTTACTTGGGAGGAGAGACCGACCCCCACCTCACTACAGCCTCCTCTCAGGTAGTTGTAGAGAGCGATAAGGTCTCCCCTCAGCCTCCTTTTCTCCAGGGTAAACAACCCCGGCTCCCTCAGCTGCTCCTCATAAGACTTGTGCTCCAGACTTTTCACCAGCCTCATTGCCCTTCTGTGGACACACTCCAGCACTTCAGTGTCTGTCTTGTAATGACAAAACTGAACACAGTATTCGAGGTGCAGCCTCACCAGTGCTGAGTACAGGGGGACAATCACTTACCTAGTCTTGTTGGCCACATTATTTCAGGTACAATCCAGGATTTTGCTGGCCTTTTTGGCCACCTGGGCACACTGCCAGCTCATATTCAGCCACGATTCAGCTTTCCATTCAGCCATATTCAGCTTTCCAGCTGCTCTTCCCCAAGCCTGTAGCGCTGCATGGGGTGGTTGTGACCCAAGTGCAGGATCTGGCACTGAGCCTTGTTGAACCTCATACAACTGGTATCATCCCAGAGACCCATCCTGTCCAGATCCCTCTGTAGAGCCTTCCTACCCGCCAGCAGATCAACACTCCCAACAAACTTGTTGTCTTCTGCAATCTTACTGAGGGTGCACTCGACCTCCTTCTCCAGATCCCTGATGAAGATATTAAACAGAACTGGCAGCAGTACTGACCCCTGGATCAGACTGGCTGCCAACTGGTTTTAACTCCATTCACCCCCACTCTTTGGGCCCAGCCATCCAGCCAGCTTTTTGCCCAATGAAGAATACATCCACACCTGTCCAATCCATGAGCAGCCAGCTTCTACAGGAGAATGCTGTGGGAAATGATGTCAAAGGCTTTAGTAAAATCTAGGTAGAAAACACCCACAGCCTTTCCCTCATCCACTGAGCGGGTTACCTTGTCATATGAGATCAGGTTAATCAAGCAGGACCTGCCTTTCATAAACCCATGCTGACTGGGCCTGATCTCCTGGTTGTGCTGAATGTGCCACATGATGGCACTCAAGATGATCTGCTCCATAACCTTCCGCAGCACTGAGGTCAGGCTGACAGGTCTGTAGTTCCTCAGATCCTTCTTCTGGCCCTTCTTGTACATGGGCGTCCCATTTGCTAATTTCCAGTCAACTGAGACCTCCCCAGTTAGCCTGGACTGCTGATAAATGATGGAAAGTGGCTTAGTAAGCACTTCTGCCAGCTCCCTAGGCACCCTTGGGTGGATTCCATCTGGCCCCGTAGACTTGTACATATAGAGATTATAGAAGGATCTAGAAAGACAATTCAGAACATCTGAGATAAGAATTACACTTTCAAGGTACTGGATGGACAATTTGGAAGCTCTAGAGAATTTAATATTCCCGGTAAATCTGTGACAATGCATAAAACACAATTCAGATACATCCTGTACTAGTATTTTTCATGGAAGTCGAAAGATTATTACCTCTCTTCGTAGTGTACAGTAGCTTTCTGAGAATTCTCTGCCAGCCGGCTGGTACAGAGGAACATTCCCCTTCTGCAGTAATGCAAGTCAGTAATTAAACCTGAACACAGCAAATAGAGCTATAAAGTAAATCAAAATGAGTGTTGAATTGTACCTTCATGCACTGGGTGGTAAACTCTTTATAACAAAACTCAAAGCTTCCTTTCTTTGCTGAAGAACCATGAATTTCAACCTCTGTTTCCAGCGTTACTGTTGCTGTCACCTGCTGTAAATCCCATGTGAAAAGAAATCATGAAAGGGAGAAGTGGAAAACAGATTTTGCTCCTTTGCCTCCCTTCCCCACAGGGTAGTCACTTGAAAATCTATGGCACCTGGGCTCATGGGTGGAGGAGGCCACCCTAAAGGAGACCCAAGTGTGTTAAACCATCTTCTGCATAGTGTGTCTTGGACTTTGTAAAGTCAGATTAAATCAGTGGGAAGGCTCTCCTGGCTTTAAACAAGTAGGGTTTTCTCTGATACTTATATCTCTAGCACAGTCTGATTGCTGGAAAAATTGGGCTAAATCCAGAATTAGGTGAACTTCATGGCGTTTCTTTGCCGTAAAGTCTGTATAATAATGAAGATAACCTCTTGCATGGATGGAGGGGTGGGGGGCATGCTTGCAGGCCCAGCGCCCTGTCTCCTCCCTTCTTATTCAGAAGCCTGTCACTGTCTGTTCACATGCTTTCTTCTAAGTGTCAGTGTTGGGAGAGGAGGACAGATATTTTACCCTACTTCACCAAAGCATATAATCTCTTGATGCTACTGTACCATTGACTCCTAAAATCACACCTGCCCAGGATGCCCTCTGCCACCGTACAGACAGGCTGTCAAAATGTTAGCAGGGATTTTGACGCTAAAATGACTCGGGAAGACAGCTGAAATAAGGCTTAGAGGTTTATTTGGTGTTTTTATATTGTTTTTCTCTAAAGCTAGTTCTCAGCATTATGTGAGCATCCAAAGCAGCAGTGGTGATAATGGGCTAGTTGAAGTGAATGATGGATTAAGCTTGGTTTGCAGGGGTGCCAAACGCAGTACCAAAGGATGGGGGCTCTCTGTAGGGAGGGTGTTTGTTTCCATTTTTTTATTGAGTAGACTTAAAATACTAGTGCAAAGACAGGGCATATTGAGCCTTTCTTGATGAGCATAGGCATGTGCAAGGGGAAGGGAGTATAAAAAGAAAGTATTTTTAAACATATATTGCAGTCTGATTGCCTGCTAGATTCTCTGTTACTTCTCATAATATGCTTGAAAAGTTTTATTTGTGCCTTGAGGGTGATGAGCCTGTCTTCATTTAGGGATGCGACTGCAGATAATATCACCATGCTATTGACAGCTTTATGCACTCTTGCTAGCAACCTGCTTCTCTTATTTACTCACTTTTACATGCATTGCCTTGCAAAAGCAGCACGGTTTTCTACCCTCCTAGTTATAATTGCATCCTGGGCCACCTTGTTACAGAGCCTGTACCTGTGGCGTGAGGTGAAAGAGCCAGTTGTTGCCATTATAAATTTTAATTTTTTATTTCCTAAGTATAATTGAGCCTGGATAGACATTATGTTTTTTCCTAGGTTCATAATTACAGAAACCTCGAAGGAGAGCTTTGTAACTATTATAAGGGCAAAAGAGGAGGTAATGTTCAGTGTGAGCTTGTTTATAAACAGGTAGATTTGAGCTTCCAGAAATTTCGGACATGTAGCTGAAAATTCATGAGGGTCCAGAAACACTAAACAATAGAACAGTGTAACAAAGTCAGTCACATCTGTTCATCACTTACATTATATTTGTAAGTCATTAGGTGTAATTCAGTAATAAAATAGTTATGTTTTATGAATTTTTATGAATTATGATGTCCTTGTAAATTCCATGTAATTACTAAAATTACTGGACGTTTCCTTTGTTATTTTAAAAATAAAATTATATTTAATTTGCTTTTTAAAAGCAATAGTTCTGTGTGTTGGACTCCACATGACATTGCTCATGTCTTTTGTTTTGTTGCTTCTTCTGTCAGCGGTTCTTTTGGTTGGTAGGTGTTTGCCCACCAGTCCCCAATATCCTACCTTCTTGTTTAAATGGGTTTTGGAAAGATGCTTCTCATCAGGAGGTATGCCTTTGTCCAGGTCTCTTGGTTCATCTCCAACAGAAAGTATTTCTTGCTTGTATGGGGGTGGTCCAACAAAACCATAATTTTGGATCTCCTAGTTTTTGGGTGAGGAGCAGAGTCAGAAATAATAGTGGTTCATTCTGGTGAGATTGCAGCAGAAGGACCAAAACATATTGGACGTTTCTCTGGCCGACAGGTGAAAGAAAACTGCCTCCTATGGGGACCTGCACACTTTGTATTGTGGAAAATAGGTTCTGTAGGTGGAGATTCATGGAAAATATGGGTCAATTATCATCAATTCTGTTGAAAATTGATATTACAGGTTTCTCTTGATTAAATTATCTCATTCCTTGTGCTTACCTGCTTTGTCAAATAGACCGCAGCCAAGATGTCACACACAAAACTTGAAACACACTTTTTTCTTTTTTGCTTTTCTGAAGAAATGCTTAAGTTACTTGTTCAAGTATTACACTTGCAAGCTTGAATCCTAACCACATGCTCTTTTGTAGTATATTCCTCCATGGGGAGGTGGACGCTCGACATAAAGTTAGCCTGACGCAGACCATGGCTATTGTACCAAGGTGATCCTTCCTTCACGTCTGTCTTGTTTTGTTTGCTCCAGGTGAAGAAGTATCACATCACCTCTGCTCAGAGCTTCCCCGTCCTGAAGTTGTAGCTTGTGAAATCCCTTGTGCAACGGACTGTGTCATCAGTGAGTGGTCCCAGTGGTCGCCGTGTTCCCACTCATGCTCCAGTAAAAATGCTGAGGGCAGTCAAAGCAGGAGTAGGTCCATCTTGGCCCTTCCAGCTGAGGGTGAGTGATAAAAAATTTTGGATTAATCACTGTTTGTACATTTAATGAGTTGACTTGTGTTCCTCAGCCAAATTGTATTTAGATCAGAGCTAATCCTAATACTGTATCAATGAGGAATAATACTTCTCTGTACCCTCATGTCTAGTGACTGAAAGATCTTTATGGGCTTGAGTTAATGAACGTGTCACTTAAAGAAATTCTGTCACAGTTCAAAATTATTTACTTCAGCCTATGAATTACTGTCTATTGAGGGCCGGTCTGAGTGTGAATTTACTTCAGGAGAGCTGCATCCTATACTAATGAAATTGCTGCATGACACAAATTCATCATGCGAGTGTCTTTATATAGAAACATATTAGTACTGATTTAGAAAAGAACAGTGAGCTGTGAAAAATGAGGAAATAGAAAAGGACCTGTTTATTTTATTAATGCAGATCTAGAATGTATTGACCTTCTTGTTTTTCTATTGTATTAAGTATGTAGCTCTTTGATGAATACATATATAATTACCTCTGGATCTTCATGGGCACATCATGTGTCTGGATTTTTACATATCAACGTCAGTGATACAATTATTTACTCAAATGATTTTGCGTTAGAAGTGTAGTCTTCTAACTACAGGTACACATATGGTAATTCATTTATGTATTGGTTTATCACATAGGATTTTAAAGGTATCACATCAAGTGCATAAAATTTCATAAAACGTGAACAGGTCTAACAAACTAAAGTCTTGTTGACGCAACAAAAATATCTACAATTGTTAGCACTATGTGCAGCTAAGGCAGCAGCAAAACACTTTTAGATGCAAATCTAATCTAGGACAAGTTCTATTAAGCGCTATTCTGTAAAATATCATTAAAGCCACCCACTGTTTCTGGGGCAATACAGGGACTCGATCTTGCAAACCCTGACTCATGTGGATGGTCTGTATTCACATAAACATCCTTATAAGCACTTGCAAAGAAAATTGGGCCCTTCAGGATGAAAACTGCTGTATAATTGTTGATTGAATGAGAATACTACTAAAAAGTCTATGAGCTAGAGAATAATTAAAATGAAAAATATGGTTGGCTTCATATTTTCCACGGAAGTAACAAAATGCAAATAACAGATAAACACAGAATTATGAAAGTAAAGTGTTGAAGAAGTGAATTGTGGGCGGTACATAAGCTCACTCATCTCAAACTGAAACATACTAAACTAAAATGACGTGCTTTGAACTGAATACTTTTAAATTTCTCAGGAAGGAATAATCAACTATTAAAATCAAATGCCCGAAATTTTTCTGTACATCTTTAGCAATGAGTATAACGGTTTGCTATGTAGAGTCACACATCTGCATACAGATAAATAGTGATTGATTTGAATTTGTGGAGAATGGAAGTTGATTTAATACCATTATCTCTGCAATACTAAGGCAATGTTATGTTACCTGCTTTCTCTGACTCTTTCACACCCAGCTCACAGCTGAGCCACCAACTTCTACACTGTTCTGGTACCTTTGCAAGTGGCATTTAATTTGTCCTCTGTCAACTGAAGCAGTGTTAGCTGTGGCTCTGCTGTCTGAGGACTTCTGGATGCCATCTCACAGACTGATTTCAGTTCAAACCCTTGGGTCATTTTATCCAAGCTGCTCACCAGATCTCAGAATATGATAACCAGGAGGCTGTTGATGAAACTTAGAGGGGCTTGGTTTAAATCAGCTTTTAAAATATACTTCTTTATGCAGCAAACTTCTGATACTTGGTGCAAGAGGAGATTATGGAGGGAGACAGTCTTGGCAGGTTTAAAATGGATTAAAGGAACAGGTGAACATCAGGTCCATAAAAAGTCTGTAAATGGCTACGAGAATGACTAGGCAGTGTCATGCTGTCCTGCTTTCCTTCTACAAAAGTTGTCAATAAACTGCAAATAGTGGGCAGGATCTTGTGCTTTTTATAAAGAGCATCTCCTGCTTGTGGTTTTGCAGGCAGACTGCTAGGTTGTATGGACCATGTAGTATTTCTTATTATCTTAAGTTAAAACTGCCTCATTATTACTATCCCTTGTTTAGGAGAGCTTCCTTACCACAGGTGTTCTTGAAAAAAATACCTTCATTTTTCCCTGGGAAGCTCAAAATTTTGGGTAGATCTTTTCTTTTTCTTTTTTCCTAGTGGACCAGGCATTTTGCCATTTGCTTGCTATGTTGTTTTTTTTTTTTTTTTTCTTAAACATGTGCTCAGACACACAAGAGCGATAACTGGTCTGCATTTTTCCTGCCAAGTCAAAATCTTTACGAAATAAGTTACCTGGGGCCTTTTCTACTCCATCATCATACTAAACATTTTTGAGACTGAACACTATGTGGAACAGTCCATTTTCATGAAAAGACGAATGGTAATGTGACATGATTATCCAAATCAGTGTGCTAAGAAATTTCTATCTCTCTTTCTTTCTTTTCTCAGCACTATTCATTGTGGCCATTTGGGGTCATACCTTATTTGAGAAGGCTCAGTCCTGCAAGGTGATAGGCTTCCCTTCGAGGAGCAATTTACCCTCATCTTCTGTTGATTTTAGCAGGGTGTAAAGGTGTGCTGAACCCTGTGGTCTCTGGCCCCAACACTTAAGGTCTTTCAAAACCTGCAGCTCTTTGGCCATGTCACAGGTTGCCTGATTCTCCCTCCTGGAAGAGAATGGTTTTGATTTTAGTAATTTTTACTTCTTTCTTTCTAAAATGACAATGCTTACTGTTAAATTTCACTGCATTACTCCTTAGCTTTTGAGCTACAAACATCTGCTGCTTTTATGGGATAAATTCAGTCTGCTGGCTAGAGTGTTAAAGCTTCTGGGGAGTCTGTTCAAACTCCTGTACTTTGTGGATTTATTACCAGTTGTTGACAAAGTGCAGTAGTTTAGCAAAATCTTTGGACACCAATTTGAAGGATGCTGCTTCAGAGAAGTAGTGGCTTCATACCCAAAACCTTTCTTTCAAGTTCCTCCTCCTTGCTTTGCAGATGTGGGTATCATTTGTTACATTCCTCCATCAGTACAGTTCAGCACCCCCTACAGCTCAGCTCTTTAAGGCAACATGTGAAGAGAGTCCAAATATTAGAAAGATATGTTCCTCCTTGGGAAATTAGCAAGGAGAATGAACATAAAAATAATGCTTAATTTGTCTTTAAACCTAATTGCATGTTTGCTCAGTGATACTGGCATTTAAATGGAATTAACTTGGCTATGTGTAGGAGTATCAATAAGGTAACTCAGAAATATACTTTGACTATTTCTGTTTCCATTATGTGTTAGAATACAATTTTATGCAAGGCTAGTTTAATGGGGAAACAATATTTTAGAAGGTTGTTATTGCAGCCATAAAGGTCAACAGCTTTATTTAAGCTTTATTTATTTATTTATTTTTAATGGGAAAAAGAAGAAGAAGATATTAAGCAAACCTAACATTTGTAGTTATTTTCCCATGTCTTCCTTTTGCCACATGCCATAGGATAAAATATGGTGTTCTCTTGACTCTTTCCAGGTGGAAAAGCCTGTCCCCCAGACCGAGCCCTGCGGGAGCACCGTCCCTGTAATGATCACCCGTGTGTGCATTTCTTCTGGGAAACTTCTCCCTGGAGCTCTTGCTCTGAAGACCCGCTGGAAACTGCGCTCAATGCAACCATTAATTGGAGTGGAGAAGCCACTTGTGGAGTGGGCATCCAGACAAGGAAAGTCTTCTGCATGAAAAGCAGTTCTGGCCAGGTCACACCTAAAAGGTATTTAAAGAAAGGATATCGGTGATTATTTGTAGTTACAATATATTACATATGAAAGCATTTTCAGCTAGTGTAGGGAATCTGCAGCTTTGAAAATAATTTTCTTTCAGGACTAATTCTCCAGCTACTATTCCATCACTAATATGAAAGGGATACTAATACGTAGCAAAAATGAATAGCTAGCCCATTTTTAATTTTCTGTGTAAATCCAAGCCAAATGCCTGTTTTCAGCAGAGTAGATTTTTTTTTGCTGTAGCTTGTCTGTTGATTTAATTTACAGTTTTCTGCTAATATTTTTCCTGAAGGACAGATGTGAGGAAAATATAAAGTACATCTGAATATAACGTTCATCAATACATTATTAACAGTGCTCTAATAAAATAGAAAAAGTAAATCAAGTTTGCATTATATTACAACACAATAAGGCAGAACCATATGTGTGATCTATATCATTCAGTTGATTCATATACTTTCTGTAGTGTGATACCAACAAGAAAAAATTATGTATTCTGCAGCAGAAATATTCTGAATTTTGCTTTGCTTTACTAAATGAGGAAAATAAGTAGCACAGATGTTTTCCCTAATATCAAAAAATTAAGACATTGCTAATTATTTTTTGCACTGCTAATGAGTCTGGAGACTTACAACCAAGTTTCATTTATTATTGTAGCTCTCAAAACAGTCCTGTTCATATAAGCAGACTGTGTTGATTTCAGTAAAGTTAATTAAAATTCTTCAGGTTAGTGGATTAATTAAATAGAAGTGAAGAAATCTAATATTCATTTATATCTAGAATCCATTGTTATGCTACATCTTTACCTAATGAAACATATTATTTATAGAGCTATATGGTGTCTAAAATAGTTGGTTTTCCCCTTTTGAGATGGTAGAAGGGGAAATGGAACTGAAAAGGGTAAGTAAATACTTAAGTGGAGTACTTGAAGGGAAAATTGTTTCAGTGGTGGAAAAGTCCTGCCAAAATAAGAGATTTTCATACTGGGGACTTCAGAAAGGGTCTCTCCTTGGCTTTGGTGTGGTAGCTTCAGTGCCTCGGTGTTCCTCATGTGACGGAAGTAGATGGATCAAAAAGGGCTGCCGAGTCCTTAAAAGAACTTCTTACTGAACTTGTTTCTTTTGCTGCTGTGCTGCGTATTGTTCTTATGGTGATAATAATCTTAAAAATATAAACCTTGGACCTCTAGAGGTCTTTAGGAAGATGGTTCTAAGTGAAGGAATAAAACTGTGTTTCAGAATTAAATAATTACCTCATTACTGCCCAGGAGGCTCTGAACCAGTTCGGTGCTGGGGTGAACGGCAGCTCTCCTCGCTGTGTGCACCAACTGTGGCTGTATTATATTTTATGTTTGAGTTGATGAAAACTGACCCAAAGTAATATTGGCTTTAGAACTGCTGTGGTGAAAGTCTGCTGTTAACATGGCTTCAGAAATGGGTTACATTATGTAAATAAATAACTTGTAAGATGTAATACTGTATTTTTTTGTATTCTGCATTTTTCTTGATTTCATAAAGAAAATTACACTATATCCAAAGAAGGTGCAAGGCACAGAAAGCCAAATGAAACTACAGTTTTTGCAGAAAATATTTCAGCGTCTTCTGTTAGATAACAGAAATCTGCCCTCTAGGATAATCATACTTAATGAGAAGAGATGTCTCTTTGTATTTATTTTCTTTTAAATTATATCTCTAAGTATCTTACTACTATCTCAGTAACAGAATCATGACTTTAAGATTTGTCTTCTTTCCTAATAGGGTTTAGTGGCACATTCCTCTCTCAAATGGGATAATTTTGAGTTGCATGCATTGCTAAGTATTTCTGAGTGATCTTTTTACCTGAAATTAATACAAATTAAAAAAGAGTAATTCCCTTTCTTTTCCCCAACTTGAAATGCAAGACCTGCCTGATCCCAGGAAATTGTCCTTTTTCCAACTTAGAGTTTGTATATATTAAGTCTCTGTGTCTGAAAATTTTATTAGAATATGCATGATGTTTTTCATTTAGGAGTTAAAAATTAATAAAAAAAAATCACAGAGCTCTTCTTACTATACTATGTTGTACAACTTTTTCAATAACATACAAGGCATCAATCAGAGTTATTAAGCTATTAAACTTTAGGTGGTTTTTGTGTTTCCTAGGGGCTGAAAGTGGAGGAATATGACATCAGTTCTTACACACAGTTGCAAGTGGTTTGAAGGCTGTTGCATGTTGTGTTAAAAGGGGACTACTTTATAAACATAACTATTCGCTTTCTTTGGTAATAAATATATCTATTTTGCTTCAGTGAGCTTTGTATTTTAGGCATCATATACAGAGTTACATTTATCCTGTAGTCATCAAGCCAAGCTCCACATTTTTTTATTATACTTTTCTTTAATCTTTGAAGTGTACTAAATTAAGTTGGGTTACGTGAGCACAAAGGAGAAGAAAAAATGAGGCTTGCTGTGACCAGGAGTGATGTATTTGGTATGGTGGTACGCTCACAGCCCTGTGAGAGTCTTAGGAGTAAACCATTTCCCTGTAGTTTTAATTTTTTATTATATTTTACTTTTGCATTGGGATCAATAGATGTCCAGAGTCCATCAGACCTGAGACGGTGCGCCCATGCCTCCTCCTCTGCAAGAAAGACTGTGTTGTTACACCTTTCAGTGAGTGGACTCGCTGCCCAACAGCATGTCAGCCTGGTAAGCCTTTAAAAAGAGGTCAAAATTTGAGGAAAAATTAGAGAATTGGCCTAGAAACATGTGGTAGTTGTAGTTCATGTCGGTCTAATAATTTTTTAGGGCATTCATCTGAATGAGTTTTGGACTTGGGGTGTAGTTGACACTGATGCTGTTAGTGAGTGGTGGGATCCTCGTGAACAGATTTGGAGATGTGAGTAAATTCTCTTTACCTGGAGTAAATTCCATCTGGGCTTCTGCCTTCAAAGTCAGAAGTCCAACGTCCAAACGTTGTGTGGCTGTACATGGAATTGCTACATTATATGAAATTTATTTCTCTTGGCCAACCTAGATGTACATGCAGGGTTGTGTAAATAACTCCTGTGCTTTATAATTTTTCAAGGACCATACATTTCTTTGATCTAGTTTGTTAGCTTTTGGACACTTAGTGTTCAGCAAAGTTTCTTTATAATGATATAGTGTTAGTTTTTGTGGCAAATTTGTGTGTTTCATTAATTGTTCAGATGAAAGCCTTCTCAGTTATCAGAATATTTCATTATTGTTGGTGGCTTCCTTGCCCTTCAAAGATTCTCAGTGGATGCTCTAGCATAGTCCTTGTTAGATTTTACAGGAAAATGAGTTGCTTTCTAAAACAGTGAATCCTGTTTTAATTAGCAATTTATTTTTAGACTTTAAATGAGCTGCCTATGAAGAAGTAGAATAAATTACCTGGTAAATTGCTTTGTTTATTAAATAATAGTCTACAATTAAAATGAGAAGAAATTAATTATTTAACCTCATTGGCAGTGTTATCATTTTAATATAATTCTAAATTAAAACTTCTTAGATGGGGGAGTTTGCTTTTTGCTAAATCTGTTATTGATATGGCTGCATTGCAAGATTTTTTTTTTTTAATTTGCATTGCACAATTAAAACCTCCACACGATAATGAAATTTCAAAACCACTATACATATGTGAGTTGTTATGTTTGTTTTTTTTTTCCTAGAAAAGTTGTATTTAATGAAAACAATATACAGATGGTGAATTACTAAGTAGATCAAGCAGGAACAGGTATTGCTTGGCAGATTTAAAATTAAATGTGTACCAGCATAAGATCAGAGTTTAGACAAACATGGAATCACTAAATCAGCTTTACACAGAACTTTACCAGTTAAGCTGTTTGTAGTTTATCTGAGAAAATGCATCCAACTTTACTATCTAACAATAAAAAAGCTGACATTTTCCCTACATTTAAATGTCATCAGACAACCAGCTGTCTTCTGGCGAAGGATTATCTCATACCTCAGAAGTGTAGACAGCGGTGAACTTAGGGCAATAACAGATGGATGGACAACATAATTCACAAAAGAAGCGCAATTGAATCCAAACACCTGTTGGTGAGGCAGGAACAGGGAGGTTGTTGCAAGTTATTGATTCTCTGCCATTTCAGATACTTAAAGGTGACAACTGTCTACTGCAGTTTTCTATAATATATCTGTTTTAATGGGTCTTTGAGGATGAATCGAAACAAGAATCAAAGAATCAATATGGAGGTTTCAGAATATGAAATGGTTTGAATGAGCAGCACGTAGATTTTCCTCTGTTACCTCTTTTCCCGGTGGTGAAGGTGTCCTGGGGAGGCAACAGCTTTCAGTATGGGTGATGTGCTCTTTGGTCTGCCAGCATAGATTTAAAAGAAGGACAGTAAAAAAGGCAAACATGACAATAAATAACATTTTTCATCTTCCTCCTGAAAATAGATGGTACCTATAAGTACCTCTCCTCTCTGGGCATTGGCTGTCCAGAGGGAAGGTTAGAAATTTCACTGTTGCTTAGTTCTCTAAACAAGTTTACATTAAATGTTAGGTAGTAACTGTCCTATTTATTTCCACAAGCCTTAAATCAGATTTGAAATGAGAGGGGGTAAAAGTGGAAAAAATGCATGGTGTGCCATGATGAGAAATTCCTGTGACCTCTACCCTGTGTCAGACAGTTTCTGTAAAGGATCTGCCAGTTCTAGTTCTCATAAACAATTAGAGTTGGTCAAAGTTAAAGACCTACTCCTTCAAAAGCTCTTACCTGCACAAAACTACCACACACAGCTCTGATTTTGGTGACTAAAATCTTGAAGAATCTGTCCTTATTATTTGCGTGCTCAGTCTTGTGTTGGCTAGATTCTGCCTTTTCATCTGGTCAGGATCGAAGAGTAGGAAGCTGAATGTTTCCTGTGAAACTTGGATGAGATATAGCACACTTTACAGTAGTGAACAAGGGCTTGGTCCCTCACCTGAGAATGGTGATGCACCTTTCTGAGCTCAGGGCAGGGTACCAGGGAAGCCCTGGGGGTCAAATGCAGAGGAAGGAAAGAAGCAAGATCAAGGCAGGAATGAGAAGAGTGGATTGATAGAAGGAGTTGTGTGGCTCTGTGTGTAAGGAGAGGTGGGACAGAGACATGGGAGTGGAAGCAGAGGTAAGGCACCCCCAAAATTCTCAAACACCATTATCTGAGTTGCAGAGTCAAAGACATAGAAGTTAAGATGGACTTGAGATCCTGAGGCTTGTTTTTTTCAGGAGGGCAAACAGTCACAGCCATGCTTGAAATCAGCTTGGGTTCAGCTTTAAAAGGACAGTCCTACATAATGCTAATACTCTGGAAAATTGGGCTATGGCAATTTTAAATGAGACATAAAAATTATGTTCATTAACATTTGTAAGGAATGCTGTAGAAAAGCCAATGAGGAAATTCAATTTTGAAAATGGGGTTTGAGTAATGTGCAATAAATGTTGAGGATAATTTAGTTTCTTGAGGTGGAGAAAATTACTGTGGGAAGTTCATTTAGATTTGGTGCTGATTAATAGGAAGGAAATTGCTAAGGGTGGTAGATAATTTGAATAAAAATCATCACAAAGTGATAGAGTTCACGATTCTTAGGAAAAGGGAAGGATGGCAATATCAGTAAGACATTTAAAAAAAAAAAAAAAGATAGAATTTAACAGACTGAGAGAATTGGTAGCTACACCTCTTGGGAATGTGTTCTATGCAGACAGGACTGTAGAAGACCTGGCAGCTACCAAGACTGTATGAAGGGCTGAAGCCCTACTGGACTCTCTGTCCTGAAACTATTATAATAGCAAGCCAGTAACACAGAGGAACAAGGGATGTGTAGGTCTGTGTGTGACTTGCATGCTGAAGCTTCAGAACATGAACAGAAAACATCAAACGTAGCCAGAGAAGACCTTTATTAATCTTTTCTCATCATCAGAGTAGTTCAAAATCTTGTTTCCTTTTTGATTGTCAAATTGTTTCACAAAAATTAGGAACAAGAAATCAAGAATAGAAATTTAGCTATAGGAGGATATTAGATGACAGGAATTGCATAAATGGATTAAAAGTAAGGGGAACTGAATGAAATAAATGTTCATTACTTTCTGAGAAACAACGGAAACACAACATGGGGAATGTGCAATTGCTACTGTTGTTTCCTATCTGCATCCAAGAGAGGAATGGACTAAAGATAAGTATTTTCCTAAATTAGATGTTCCCACGTCAGTAGGGCTGTGTGAATAAATAAGGAAGCAATAAAGTAAGGCCAGAGCATCTAGTGACTATCTACTGGATAAGAAATTGCTAAGTCCTGAGGAACTAACTAAAACTCAGTAATACCAAGACAAACCAAACCAACCAGCCAACACCCTACTCCTCACCCCGCCTCCCCCCAGAAAAGAAAGGTCAAGGAAATTGTAGATTACTCATCCTAACTTCATGAGGTAGAAAAACACAAGAACAAGTTATTACTCAAGATAGAAACATTTCAAGAATCAGATTCTAATAAGCTGGCCAGTATGGATTTATTGAGAACAAATCATGCCCAATAAATCTCTTTTTTTTTTTTTTTTTTTTTTTTTTTTGAGAGCATAGCTGCTCTGATTAAGGGAAGTGGTGGATTTTTGACACATTAAACTTTTGTCAGGAAGCTGAGGAATAGTGACTTGAATTAAATCACTGTTAAATGGGTGCTCAGCTGCTTGAAACATCTCACAGTGGATATCACTGTGGAAAGAATCTCCCTCTGTCTCCTTTACTGCCTGCCACCACGTATCAATACACATTGATAAGATCCTGTGAGCCTTCTCCTCTCCAGGCTGAAGGATCCCAGCTTTCCCAATTTATTCTTCGGTGTCAGATGCTCCAGTCCCCAGATAGTCTGTGTGGCTGTTCACTGGACTCACTCCAGTGTGCCCACATCCTTCTTCTCCTGGGGAGCCCAGAACTGGACACGGCACCCAGTTGTCTCACCAATGCAGAGTGGATGTCCCTCGATGTGCTGGTGATGCTCTTCCTAATGCAGCCCAGGATGCGGTGGCCCTTCCTTGCTACAAGGGCACATTGCTGCTTCGTGGTCAACTTGTCTATCAGGACTCCCCTGTCCTTCTCTGCAAAGCTGATTCCAATCAGTTGACTGGTATATGTCCACTATTCACAATCAAACTGGAACATAAGTCAGAGGGAGTCCTACAGAAAACTGTTCTTGCCCCAATTCTATGCGATATTTGTCTGAACAGCTTACGTGCTTGAATAAGAACATTAGTGGATGACGCAGAGCTGAAAGAGGTAGCAAACACAACAGACAATATATTAAATGATACTGAAATTGAGAAATTTCTCAAAATGTGACTTGGGAAGGAAAAATTGATTGCACAAAGACAGAATGGGAAGTGAAGGCATCAGTACTGTCTCAGGCACCTCTGAAGATACAAAATGAATGAAAGTCAACAATTTGAAATGCTAAAGCTCATATTGGGCTTGTCAAACTCATGAGCGTGTTGTATGTAGAACGCCAAAAGTGTTACTGTGTTGTGCACTGGTGTGGCTGCAGGTAGGGTTCTTTGGGCACAGTGTTGTAAGAAAGTGAGCAACGGAGGTAATTGAGTAGGACCTGTGAAGAACTGTTTTTTCTTAGTTTAGAGTGGAGAGGACTTAAAGTGGATACAATCTCTTGAAATTTCATAAAGGTTATGTGTCAGGTGATAGGGATAAACTTTTTACATCTAGTGGACAGAAGGTAAAACAAAATTAGCTTAATTTACAGGAGTGATGACTTGGGCTAGATTTTAAGACAAGACTATCTGTGAGGCTTTACAAGCACTGAATCAAGCATCTGAAAGGAGACTGTAGAAGGCTGTGGAACTGCCTCAGGTAGTGGCTGTTAAAGCAGCAGGAGGGAGATTGCCCTGGATGCACTTACCCTGCCTCAGGATAGCAGCTGGGGTGAGCAACCTCCTGCCAGGTCCAAAGTCACTTTGTGATGATCTAACAGTGATAGCATGTCTGCGAGTGAAGGCTTGTATCACTTGATATTTTTAGAGCCAACCATTTTTCCTGGGTCTGTACTTGTACTTTGTGTTCATGGTGTGACTTTTCCTAAGTTTTCCTTCTTATCTAATGCACTGTAATCTTGCTACTGTAGCTTTGGCCTTATCTTGAGTTGGAAAAATAATACTCATAAGTGGGCTTATTTCCACACCACTTTCATCCCTTGAACAAATTTGAAGTCTATTATTAAAAGATGGTTGTCTAGTCTGGAATCTTTTATGGAGTTCTGCTGAGATCCCTTTTCAGTTTTCTAGCATCTGTTTTTGAAGTGTGAGTACAGTACCCAAAGAAATACTAATGCCATACACACCCATCAAACCAGCTCTCAGTTTGTACTTACCACTTATGCAGCTAAGGATTACATTTCTTTTAGCTATTTGGATGTATAGATAAATCTCATCCTTGTCTTTCATGCTGCATTCTGTACTGTAGATTTTGTGAACTGTGTTTCTAGATGGATTGATCTTGCATCGGCTCAGGTTGAGTAGAGAATTAGCTTCTGTTGGTGGGAATGGTTTTCCTATCAGGAAGTTATCATCTGTAATTTCTAGACCCATAAACATGGGTTACTGGTAGCAGCCTGAGACCACCAGAATGTGTTTTCAGAAACAAAACCTTCCTTTATGACAGATGTTCAGTTTTTTAGGTACTTGCTCATGCTTATTTTCTCATTTGATTTGATGTTCTGTTAAATAGACATTTTTTGATGCATCTCTTAGGCTGTTGATTTATCAACCTTCCAGGTGCTGTTCTGCTAAACTACTGGTAATTTTAAAGTAAAAGTAATGGTAGCTTTTAATCGAATATACCATTCCATCCCTTCTTGGGGTAGTGCCAGAGCGCTCATAATTTCAAAATATAAATGAAACACAAAGCATTTTTTTAATGAAGACTGCTAGATCACTAACTTGGGGTGCCAACTGTGTCTGGAAAGCAACTGTTTTCCTTATTTTACAGGCAATGCCACGGCAGTTAAGCAGTCCCGGTACAGGATTATCATTCAGGATGCTGCCAATGGGGGACAGGCATGCCCGGACACCTTGTATGAGGAAAGAGAATGTGAAGATATTCCCATTTGTCCAGTGTACAGGTAAAAAGTGTTATCTTGGAATCAGTCTCTTGTTTAGTGGGTGTCCACTTCTCCAAAAATTACTCTTGTGCAATTGTCCTGCACAATTTTCACCAGAAAACAACATAATCCTGGAAAATGCAGAGTTATAAACAAATAACATACCTTGCAAAATGTGTAAAAGTAGAGTTCAAATTGGAGATTTCAGTAGATCTGACATCATCAGAACAAGCACCACTAGACACAGCTCCTAAAAACAGTAACATCAGGGTTCGATGTGTTTAAGGAAGCTTACTGGGAACTCCCCGCTCAATGTACCTAAAAATCAATGTAAGCTATTTTGGGACCACAAGCGTTCAACTGCCTTAATCACAGTTGTATACTTATTGCAGAGACTTGTCTTTTCCCCTGCTGTTCTCACTCCAGTGAATAATACGCACTTTTAAAAATTCTGATTAGACAAATAGTACAATAGGGCAATTAATCACCACTCTTCATTAATATTCTGTGACCCGTCTGCTATACAATATTAGTAAATAAAAAAGCATTATATCTTTGCATATAAGTCTCCAGCCCGCCCATCCTATAGGACATGGTTGCGGATGAGCGGGGAGCTGAAGCTGGTGCTGAAGCAGGGGTCACACCATGCAGCCCTGCCCGGCTCTGTGCTGCAGAGCACTGTGGAAAGGTGCTTTCTCGTGTTCCTCACTGGCACACGTCCTGGCATAGGAAGCAGCTTGGGAACAGCATCAGTTGTTTGAGAACAGGCTTGCAGCAGGAGAGCCTGATTTCAAAGCCTGCCAAAGATGTTTCTTCTGTATTTTATGTAGCTTTGAACCATGCCCTACAAAACAGAAAACGTTGTTGGAGGATGATGTGGCTTTCTAGAAGGTGAACCTTGTATCTGGATTTCAGTTCACAGTGCTAATTTCAGGAGTAATTACAGCTTTTTGACTCTATTTCTTCTTAAGTCTCATTAGTAACTGAAGTTTTTGCCTTCAGGTGTTAACTGTTTTCTGGTTTTAACCACTTAATTGTTAACCTTTTCCTCTTGCAGGTGGAAGACCCACCGCTGGAGTCATTGTGTGCTGGTGCCAGATTCAGTGAGACAGGGTGTGCCAGGACATAATGAGGCATGTGGACACGGTTTGCAGTCAAGGGGTAAGCTTTCTCCATGCAACCTCCAAATATTTAAGGTGTTGGACTGTGGCATTTAAGTAGGGTCTTTACTGGTTTACAGCAGCTAATTTGGAAACTAAGTGGCCGAAGCACTTTTAAGTGTTTTGGGAAGTGGACCCATTGTACAGTTTGGCTGCTGTGCTGGATGTTAAATTAACAGTGACATGATAATATGCTGGGAGTATAGGAGGGGATTTATGCTTGGTATTCAAGTATCTTTACAGTAACATGCTCTTCTGCCTAAAGATGAAGCATGTGGGCTTTAAAAGAACTATCTATCTATAGGCATCTATGAAGTAATCCATTCTTGCTGCTAAAAATGGAACGTATAATTTCCTCATGATTTTAAATTTTACTAATAATTTGCCTGAGGCCTGGTTTTCATGACGACTATTGGAGAAGTTCAGCGTGGATAAAAGCTTTGGGCTCCTGACCTTGGCGTGACGAAGCACTTGGAAAATGCAGTGATCCCATTGTCTGAATGAAAGTGTTGAGAAGAATTTCACTGTTCAGAGTGTGTGATCAGTCTGTAGTGGTTCCTGCAGATGGCTGGAGATTTGGCTGTTATCAGTCTCCTGGGAAATCTAATGAAACCTTTAACAAAAGATTATTTTTATTGAAAAAAAAAATTACTATACAGGTATGCTAACTGAAGAAACTTGACATAATAATTTACTCCTTCACAAGGGTAGAAACTATTCTTTAAAGATGAAGCAAATTTCTTATATAATCTGGAAACAAAGGAAAAGAAATAAAAGCTCTGACAGTATGTGGGCTGTATCTGAAAGAAGAAATGTGTTTTAAACTAAAGCTCAAAGGAGTAAATATCTTTGACTAGGTTTTGACCACAAGCCTTTCCACAAGCTTTTCAAAGAGAGCTCTGTAAATTGAGATGTCCTAAAATGTATTCCTCAATCTCTGTGTGAAGGGATGGTAATCTCTGTGCTCCAGTAGGTGCATGAACTTTGTATTAATCTTTCTCTGACAGAATTTGAAGTATAATAGAAGAGTATCACATTTATTTTTACTCTGTGGAGAGTCCTCCAACAATTACATAGGCTATGTGGTGTTCTCAGGTAATAATGGAAAAGGAATCTTGTAGCCTGGTGGGTTTAAGCAGAATTTGTTTCAGTGCCACGTTCACTTTTTATAATTAACTATGGTTTTTGTAAGAGCTTTGGTTTTCATAATTACATGTAGTGATAGAACCAATCTGCTAGGTATTACTGAGGATGAGTGGAGTTTCAGGAAAATGAGTTCTCAGGTGAAACCCATGGAAAAATATTTTAAAGATATTTCCTACGAATAAGGGGAGTGATCTCCATGGAGAAGGCAGCCGCAACCAAGCTCTTAACTCTGACCATATTGCTTCTGAAAAACAAGCTGCCGGATTTTCAACTATTCTGTATCTTATCAATAGAAGTGTTTAGTAGGAGAAACTTTCACAAAGCTGCTGTTAATACCTCACCTTGCTGCTGCTTGAACTCTTCAAGAGCAGCTAGCGTGTGTGAAGAGGTGCTGTGTCACCATATTGCCAGATCCTCTCATTCTTCACCATGAATGGGGGGATATAGAGGGGGTGGGTCTTTGGAGATATTTTTGAAATAACATGTGAGGTGAGGCTGGGGATTTGAGCTTGCTCAGCCTGTAGAAGTGTCTAATGGGAGTGGGGTTCATGAGAAGATGGAGCCACACTCTTCCTAGAGGTGCACAGTGAAATAACAGAACCGTCCTAGGCCGTAGTGAGAGAAATTCCCAGATTGCCCGGAGAGACTGCAGATTCCTTGGAGATACTGAAAACTAAATTGAATAATGTCTTGAGCAGCCTTTTCTAACTTTGAGGTCAGTGTCGCTTAGAGTAGGCACTGGATCTTCAGAGGTCCCTCTGTTCTAAATTATATTGTATGATTCTGGGAATCTGTGCCATCAGTGGTGTTACAGATAGATGCTTTCCTGCAATATTCAGGCATCCTACAAATGAGTTTGCATTCAAGATATCACCACCACTCCACACAGTAATTGCCTTGCATAATGTGTCAGCAACTTTAGATAGTAAGTGCTTATTCTCCAAAGAGCATTTACATGAATTTGCCCAATTTCTTTTTTACCATGTAACGGCAATTACCATTTTACCACTGAAGATAATCAGTCTCACTGTTCCTTAAAGCATCCATTTTTAGAATTTTTTTTCTTTTGCTGTCCATATTCTGACTGCCATGTAAATAAGAGGATTTCAATTTTCAGTGACTGTCGTATCTAGCCAATTATATAAGGACATTGAATTCATATAAATTATTTCTAAAGAAAGAAGGCGTATGTTTATGTGTACCTATTTAGAACGATGACTGTACTGAGGGAAAATTAAGTCTGAAATGACTTTCAAGCTCCATTCTTTCTCTAGGCTAGATTCTGAGAGAGATACTTACAGATCTTGTTCCATGAGTGTTTTCACTGAAATTGCACATAAACGTGCTATGTAATATGCAGAAGATATCAGAATTTGTCTGTGAATAATAAGCAGAATGGCCAAAAAGATGACAGCTGTCTGAAGCTGCAGTTTTCATGGCTTTATCTTGAAATGATATTACACTAATTACAATAGCCTTTCATTTTGTATATCAGCTTCAGTGAACTAACTTGTTCAGAAAGCAGTCATGCAGGTAAGAGAAAGGTAGTGTTTAGAACTAAGAAATATAGTTGTTATTTAAACTTCTTCAAGGCATGATTTGCAAAAAGCCCCTGAGATAGGACACTTGAGAGTAAAACAGGGTGGGGATGTTACTGTTGCTTGACAGTGACATAGACAACATTTCTAACAGTAAATGAAGAGCTTTACAAGCTTCTCTATTACTATATAGCTGTCATTTTCCTCGACAAGTGACTAATTTACTAGAAGGTGTCAAGACTGTGAGAAAATTGCTTCTCCTTTGGATGCTCTTCAGTGACTTTAGTGTTCTCTGATGTTTGTGATGGAGGATCCTTCAGAAATGACCTCTCCCTTCAGTGCTGACATGAGCACTGAACACATGAGCACTTAGACATTTACATTTTTGGGGAAAAAATGTGTTGCTCATTACAAGAGATTGTTAAGGTTTAATTAGTGGATGGAAAGCCTGTTTTAAGCAAGTGTCTTTTGAAGGCTGCTTCAAAAGCCATTGATAAAGTAAATAGACGCGTATTAAAGACCAGACTGATGTAATGAGACTCCGCTTTAAAAACTGGTCTTGGAAATACACTGACAACATGGTTATGAATAAAGTAGTTACTTTCCAAAAGTAAGGAGAAGCTGTAGCAATGGAACATGTCATGTCTTATTTCTGCTGCTCCTGCCACTTCTTAACTGATTCATTTGGAGGATTTGACCATATCTCCCCCTGTTAACGAGACAGTAAGTCCATCTCAGAGCTGTTGCTCCTCATTGCGAGAATACAGAAATGCTGTGACATAGAGCAGCAAATATTCTTAGAGAATAACTTACTGATTTATGTACTGGAAAACAACAACAAACCCACCAATGCAGTAATGAGAAACTACTCCTCTGCTGTGGAGAAGTTCATTCTCCCTGGCTCACCTGAGGTCACGGGGTGGATCGATACTGGATAGTCTCATTGGGCATCTCAGTAGAATATTTCTTTTCTTATGCTCTACTATCAGACCACGCATGATGTATTTCTTTCCTTCCTTAACCGTGTTGTAAATTCACACCACATGGACTGTGCTAAGACGGTTAGTGTTAAATATAATCCATTTCAGTTGAAAAGTTGATGTATGAATTGACAGTGAAATAGTAGAATGCAGGCAGCACCAGACTCAAGCAATTTAAGATTCCTGTCTCCATTGCAGGTTTCTGGCTCTTGCTCTGGAGATTCCTGATATCTATAGGGATATTGCAGACAAGTTGGCTTTAGACTGAGGTGCAATCAAAAACTTATCATTATAAGAACAAAAATTATAATAATTACTATCTTAAGTTTTCTGAGTGTGTCTAAATGCAGTGATAGTACCAATAAAATCTTATATAAAATATAGGCAGGTCTGTGATTACAAACATAGTCTGTAATAAATCATGACTAAGTTAACATGTGTTCCATACTAAATAAGATGAAGGGATGAATTTGGTATTCCCTGTTAGCATTGCATCTACAAAAATATTTTGAACAGGCATCCTTTAGCTGTATTATCTCGTGTATTATCAATCTGTAACAATAATGGCCATATACATTACTGTTGTTTCTGCTGAAATTATTTTATGGTAAACTATTTATAATGAGACATGCCATCAAAAAAGCATCAGTGTTACCATTCTTTTTGCTCATAAGAGAGTCACCCAACAGTTCTTATTCCCTGTTTTGTAGGTAGTTAATATAACTGCTGATTAGCTAAATTAACAGATGCATTCATTGTAATTTGAGTTGCAGAATGCTTTTGCACAGAATTACTAATTTCAGGAGGTACATATTAGAATCCTGTTATAATTTACAGGCTAGAAGCAACGTGATGACCTAAAGTTTACGATGAATACATTTATGATAGTAAATGTGGCGAAGACACAGACTGCTTCCGTTAGATGGTGGCATTTTATGAGTAGTGCTTTGCAGTGCAGTTCTGTGTATAAATCTGTCCAACTGATAGCTCCCTCCAACATTAACTTTGCCTGGTAGGACAATGGCACCTTGAGCCTTATTCTGAGTGTTGCGGGGATTCGTTAGGGTTGTCTGTTTATTCTGATGATACTAGTCTAAGGTAACGGTTGCAGGGACACAAATGGGAGCACAATGAGCTCAACTTGAGTGGTTCCATCCAGCATCACGATCTGGAAGACACCTGCCTGGCAGCTGGTGGCAATGGTAGCAAATAGTTGAGGGAAAAATATTTACCAGGGTAAAGACAGGAGCTGAGTCTTGTTTGTGATAAGTTTGAAAGGAAAGTTTGTGAAGTCTGTATGGAATGAGAATTCAGGTTTGGGGGGTTGCCATTCCAGG